TGATTTGGACGTTTTTTGTTTCTACTAATGTGCATTTGTGGTAATTAAAAACAATTTTAATGGGGAGAGATGGATTGCGTTAGGTAATAGGTGGGGGGTATTTTTTAATGAGTAAAACAAATGGTAAAAGAAGAGGAAAGAAGCGATAAAAACAAAATTCTGGTTTTTAAAATTCTGATTTGTAAAATTCTGATTTTCTAAAGTTCTGATTTTCTTAAATTCTAATTTTTATTAAATTCTGATTTTTATTAAATTCTGATTTGTGAAATTCTGATTTTAAAATTCTGGTTTGTAAAATTCTGACTTTTACAAATTCTGATTTTTACAAATTCTGATACCTAAAATTCTGATTATTTACAAATTCTGATTTTTAAAATTCTGATTTTTATTAATTTTTAAACTTAAAGCAGGCGCAATTTAATTAATTAAATTTGATGTTAAAAACAGGCTGAATATTTAAAAAGAATGTTAAAGTTTAGAAGCAGGCGGAATTTTATTATTTTTTGAAGCATTGATATAATCAAGTTTTATTTACATATGAATTCTTGAAACAGGCGGAATTACTATATAAAATTAATTTTGAATTGTAATAAAGTTTAATTTTGTAAAATATATAGAAGCAGGCGGAATTTTTTTTACAAATTCAACAAATGAAGCAGGCGGCTAATTTAATAAAGCTTAATTAAAAATAGGGGTAATTAAAAAATTGGGTTAAATATTTCTTGATAATTATTAGAAATAATGGAATATAAAGATAATTTTACAGCTGTATTTAAATAGAAAAATTAAGCAAGAGTAAATGACAAGTAAATGACACATGTAGATATTTAAATAAAAATTATTTATCAGTGATAAAAAAATTATTTCTCTCAAAAAAAAGCTTCTTATTGACACACACAAACATTTAAAAACCAAAAATCATTGAAAAATAAAATAATTAAAAATAATTTAAATGATCTGCCAAACCAAGCGTTAAGAACGGCTGCTTGCCTTTATTTTGTAGAAGCAATTTTTCAGTTACGCCTTTTAACAATTTTTTTCAACATTTTTTTTAAAGAGTACAAATTAGGGTGAAAAAATTGAAGAGAGAGAGAATTGAGACAAATAAACTTTAAAAAATAAAAATATCAAATAAAAACAGACATAGAAACATAATGAATAATAAAATAATTGTTAAATTGTGAAGCAGCACATCTGAAGCAGGCGGATTTTACAAATTGTAATTTATCAAAATAGGGAATTGTAATTTATAAAGCAATGAATTGTAAAAAAGTTGTAGCAGGCGGATTTAATAATAAAAATAAGTTTGCAAAACTTGGATTGTAATAAAAGTTCTGAAGCAGGCGGAATTTAATAACTAAAATAAGTTCGATGAAGCAGAATTTTAAAAAAGGTCTGAAGCAGGCGGAATTTCAGTTGAAGCAGGCGGAATTTCAGTCGAAGCAGGCGGAATTTTACTGTTCTTTTTATGAAGCAGGCGGTATATTCACACCTATTACAAATTATATAATTCTGAAGCAGGCGGAAATTTCTAAATTAAATTTGAAACAGGCGTAAATAATGATAGTTTTAAATATAAAAACCATTAATATTATTTTAAGCTAGTTTTATTCTCATTTTTTGAAAGACACATTAATAGTATAGTCCAGTTTTTTTCACTTTAAACTGACAGCATTCCTCTATCTTTTTATTTAATCTTTTGGACTATTTTTATTTAAAGAACAAAAATATTTTTATATATTTTTTAGTTAGCAAGAAAACTAAAAAAATAAAAAAATTTATTTTTTCTGTCTATTCCCTGCTATACTACTATAAATTACTAAATTCTAAAAAAAATTAAAAAAAAACTGATAAAAAATTTTTTTTAAATTAATCATTTATTAGTAATTTTAAAAATCCCGCCTGCATCAGTTTTACTATTAAATTCAACTTTTGCGCTTAAGTTTCACAAAAATCCGCCTGCTTCACTTAAAAAAAGCAAAATTGTTTCCAGTTTCATAAAAATTCCGCCTGCTTCATTAATAAACCTGTACGCTTCGGTATTATAGAAAACCCGCCTGCTTCACTTTTACATTTGAAGCAGTTCATTAAAAATTCCGCCTGCTTCAGTTTTACTCTAATATAAAAATCCGCCTGCTTCAAAAAAGACCATTTATAATTAAAAGAGGACGATTTAAAATAAAAATATATAAAAACCCTTATAGAAAAAATTTTTTTATGAACTAAAAATAAATACAATTAAGATTCCTTTATCTCCCCCTATTTAATTTTCAAATCGGATATATTATATCACATTATTTTATGTTAGTCGGTCAAAGTGATATATGTACTCTCCCCGATGCCCTTATTTTTAAAATAAAATGATATAAAATTATTTTGACTTTTAAATTGTGTGGTATATTTTAAATGGAATTTCGGTCAGTTATAAAAAAAGAAACAAAACCCGGAGATAATTTACTTTTAAACTGAAAAATAGGGAGAAGCAACTAAGGAGAGTTTTACACAAGTGCGCAAAGCTATTTTGTTGTTTAAATAAATAATAATAATTTTTTTGCTTATTTTTAAAGTATTTTTAAGATGTTATTAGCTTAAAAATACAAAAAAGAAAAATGAAAAAAAATTACTCTCAAGTATTTGTATTTTTTAAGGTCGTAGGGTTAAGTGCTGCTACAAAGTGTAAATAGACAATAATAGAAACTATAATTAGTATAATAATGAAGCAGGCGGAATTTTTTACAAATATAAAAATTAAAATTACAATTTGTAAAAATAGGTTGAGATAATTGTAAAACAGGCGGAATTAATTATAAAATAAAACTTGATTTTATTAAAAGTAGAAGCAGGCGGAATTTGTACAAATATAAAAATTATAAATTGCAATTTGTAAAATTAAAATTGTAAAACAGGCGGAATTAATAAATTAAAAACTAGAAAAGTTTATTTAAATAAAAATAAAATTTTGAAGCAGGCGTATTTTTTTGAAGCAGGCGGATTTTTCTTGAAACAGACGTAATTTAAATATATAAGGGTATATTTGAATATATACTCTTTATAAAATATTTTTAATTATTTTTCTGGAATCTGAGATTAAAAGCAAATACTATAATATATTTATAATTTTTCTTGACCCTGAAAGTTTATAAAAAAAAGTAGAAAAAGACTAGACGCCGACACGCCTAGCAAAAATTATTCCACTTGGATGCTCCTGCGACCTGTGGTTGTTTTTATGTTTTTAGGGATAATTTTTGGTGTTAATTTTTAATAGAAAAAATATAATAAAAAGAAAACAAAAAAATATTAAAATAAAGAAAAATAATTTTCTTCTGCTTGAATAATTAAAAATATAAAAATTAAATAAATAGAACAAGAAAAGACTGAAAAACAAGAATAATTAAGTGGGGGCGCTTAGGCGCAAAATTTACAAATCAAAATTATGACAGCCTAAAATCTTGAAATTTTGCACAGATAAAGTTAAGAGTGTTAACCAACTGTTCTCAAAATTTAAAAATTTTTTATCAAGTAAATTTAGAGTTATGGCCAAAATAAAAATTAAAGTAGTTAGAAGCTGGTAGTACGTATGTTACGACGAGGTAAACAAAACTTATAAAATTGTCAAAAGAAAAGATATTTTCATGAAAACTTAAACAGACATTCAAAATAGTGTTATTCAGCTTAGTTAAAAATTTCAGAATTTTGAATTAAATATCGAGTTAGTTATGTCGATTAAATTATACTTAGGGTGTGGTAAGTTACTGTGAGGTGGACAAACTTTTATAACTCTTTCCAGTTTAAAACCTATTTTGTTAAAAATTTGTGAAAATATTCGCAATAGTGTTATTTAGCTTTGATAAAAATTTCAGAATTTTAGATCAAAGATTGAAGGAGTTACTTAATTTAAACTACCGCCACTCCCAAAAAAAGAAAAAAGAAAAAAAAGAAAAATCATTTTAAAAATAAAATAAAGCATAAAAGCCTAAAAAATCCCACACAAAAATAATTCCTTTAAAAATATAAAAAAATATATAAATCATTTTTTATTATTTTATTTTTACAAAAATTCTCGTTAATAAGCTTTACTCCCTCCTCCACCTCCTCTTTTAATTTTTTTATTAATTCATTACTTCATTGTTTTCTTTTTTTTCTTGACGAGAATATTTTTTTCTTCCTCTTCTTCTTTTTAATAAAAACCGGAAAAAAGGAGTAAAAAAAGAAGAAAGTAATTAGAGCAAAAATAAAAATAAAATAAAAAAAACTGGATGCGCGTGATTTAAATATTTTTGTGTTGTTTATTAAAGCTTATTAAATATTTAATGTTATCATACTAGTAAAGTGATCCTCCTTATGTTTTTTTATTAAGTATAGGCAAACAATCGTGAGAGAATGTTAAGATGATTATCAAGTAAAAAATAAAAATTAGAATGTTTGGAATAATTAAGTATTTAGCGGAGAATTTGGGACAAGAAAAGAAATTAGTTGGAATCTGAATAAAATATAGAAATGGGGTACACCCCAATGTACAGCGCAGAGCTATAACTTCGTTCAGAACTGTCCTGCACGCCCTGATATGGTTCGATGCGCTTCGATGGGCTGAATCGAATCATGCCAGGGCCGTCCAAGATTAGAAAATTTTGAACAAAGTTACCTTGGTCTGCTCCCAAAAATGTCATTTTAAAAATACTAAAGTTAGACTAAACCGGTTTTTGTGCCCTTTCCCCTTAGTGGCTATCAAAACTCCTTTTACCTTGCTTAGAATATAGGAACCAAAATGATTTTTTAAACATAGAAATGTAATCTTGGCAATAAAAATCACAATTATTTGTGTTGTGATTGGTTGGAACTTGTTAAAAATTGAATGTCATTTTTTGCAGATTTTTTGTTTAAAAATAAAATTGTTTAATTTCTAAAAAATAATATTTTAAGAAAAAATTTTTTGAAAAAAATCCTCAAAAAATGTCTCAACTTTCAACAAGTACCCTCTAATTATTTATCAAATTCCCCACCTTAAAACCACCACTACCACTTCCATTTTTATTATTATTAAAAGGCAAATAACAACGTTGTTCATCCATTCTTTGACTTTGCATTCTTTCAAGCAAACCAAGAAAATCGCCATTAGTTACTCTCCTTTGCTTCATTTCTCGATGCCGAAAAGGTCGAAATGAAGGGGGAACTGGAGAAGCAAAAGAAGCTGATAATGAAAGGCTTGTAGGTCCGTTAATGTTGTTAAAATGGCAAGTTGGGCTAGGTGCTGTTGTTGTGGTTGTATTTCGTCTGAAAAAGTATTTTTTTTTGAAATTATTTTCAAATTAAAAAAAAATTTTTTAATGGAAATAAAAAGAGGTGGCAAAAAACGTAAAAAAACGTTAATTATGAGAATAATTAAGAAACCTAGTTTATAATCCTAAAACAAATTTTTAGCTTTAAAATTTAAAAATAAACATAAAATTTAAACTTCAATTTAGTGTTTACAATCTTAAATGAAAGTCTCAAGTTTGCAAACTTAAAAACAAGTTAATTTAAACATTTAAAACTTAAAAACAAGTTGCAAACTTGAAAATAAGTTTTAAACTTGTTTTTAAGTTTCCAACTTGTTTTTAAGTTTGCAAACTTGTTTTTAAGTTTCCAACTTGTTTTTAAGTTTGCAAACTTGTTTTTAAGTTTCCAACTTGTTTTTAAGTTTGCAAACTTGTTTTTAAGTTTCCAACTTGTTTTTAAGTTTGCAAACTTGTTTTTAAGTTTCCAACTTGTTTTTAAGTTTCCAACTTGTTTTAAGTTTGCAAACTTGTTTTTAAGTTTGCAAACTTGTTTTTAAGTTTCCAACTTGTTTTTAAGTTTGCAAACTTGTTTTTAAGTTTCCAACTTGTTTTAAGTTTGCAAACTTGTTTTTAAGTTTTAAACTTATTTTCAAGTTTCCAACTTGTTTTTAAGTTTCCAACTTGTTTTAAGTTTGCAAACTTGTTTTTAAGTTTCCAACTTGTTTTTATGTTTGCAAACTTGTTTTTAAGTTTTAATGTATTAAATAAACCATTTTTAAGTTTGCAAACTTTAAATATTATTTAAAACTCAAAAATATGTTTGTAAACCTAAAAACTTAAGTTTACCAACTTTCTAAATAAACTAGGCGAAATTTTAAAAAAGTAAGTTTACAATATTATAAAAATGAAATAATTTCCAAGTTTATTTAAGCCTTATAAAATAAAGCAGAATATAATTTTATTAATAAAAATATGACGCCAGTATTTTTATTAAAATGACACACAAACAAAATATCTGTGACCAGTCAGTCTCTCGTTCGGTAAATAAAAGTTTATTTAAGTTAACTAAATTGTACTTAGTCAGCATTACGAGAGAGAAATGGAATTTAAGGCATTATGGAATTTTTTAATTAATTAAAGGAAGAAAATTTTTGGTGTTTTGATTTTAAAAAAATTAAAAAAAATTTTTTTGGCGTTGTGTCTAATGCCAGAAAAATTTTTAAAATTTTAAAATTTTAGGGACACAAGTAAAACTATAAAAATATATCACAGAAAGGACTCTATTTTTAATGATTTTTGATTACTCACATTTTTTACTATTCGTTAAATAAAATAATAATAGACACAACAACCCCTTTTTTAGTCGTTAATTGTTTAGGCCGAATATTTTTATTACAAAAAATATTTTTATTATTATTATTTTCCTGTCCAATCGACTATTAAATTTTTTAAAATATTCTTATCGGCTCTCTAAAATCTCCCCCATCCCCTCCCTCTCTCATCTTTTTTTCATCTCGTATTTTTCCCTATTTAATTTCTCTCAATTTTACTCTTTCTCGTACCCTCCCTTTTAGTTGGCCGGATAATCTTTTAGTAAATAGTAAAAATAAAATAATATTTTTAGTAAATCAGGGAGAAGAAAAATAAAGAGAAAAAACATCCATAAATGCTTTAATTAGAAAGAGGTATATATTTAAATATAAGCTAACAAATTGAGGGTTATACTAAAAGATATAAGCACATGCTTTAATTAGAGCATTTTACGGTAGGTTAAAAGAAGAATTAAAAAATTTAAAAGGACAAAAAGGGGTGGGAAGCAAAGTCAATTTTGAAAAAATATAGTTACGAAAGTGAGGGAAAAATAGCTACTAAAAAAGTACTAAAATAGAACAAAAAATAAAACTAAAAAAATTTCAAACTGTGAAAAAGGTTAGAGACGCAGAGGACGAAAAAAATTTTCCATTTTTCTAATAATTACTAAAAAAAAATTTCCCTCACAGTCATAAATATTCCAACTCAACAATTAAAAATTCCTAAAAATAACCCTTAAAAACAACAACACATTTTTCTTGTCCTTGTCCTCAAAATTAATCTTCTTTTTCTCTTCTCTTCCCTCCAAATCCTTTAGGTTTTTAATCGCCTCGAAATATATTTTTACTATACCAAAAAACCTTCCCTTCCCTCAACAAAATTTTAAAAGATTAAATGTCCAGCTGTGATGGCTAATCTTTCCTTCACTCTCTTGCCTCTCTCTCCCTCCCTTCTCTCTTCCATTTCAACCCTTCACAGTCATTTTACGCCTAAAAATTCTTTTCTATTTTTAATAGCAAATCTTAAAGAATATATCCTCTTAGAAAGCTCCCTCTTAAGAAAGCTGCCCCGGAAATGACAATTTAACACAAGGCCATAAATATATAAAAATAGAAGAGGATGAAAATTAGGGTATCACGACTTTTGCGCCGAGAACATTTGCGCCGCGACTTATGCGCCGCGACTTTTGCGCCGCGACTCTTGCGCCGCGACTTTTGCGATGGGCGACTTATGCGCCGCGACATTTGCGCCGCCATTGTTTAGAAAATCCGGATCCGAAAAATGCCGGATATCCGAAATTTTCAGTTTGGATATCAGATCCAAAGATTTCCAACTATTCAAAAACCCTACTAAAGTGAGGTCCGGCTGTAGTTATTGATATATTTTTAATGATTGTGGCGGCGCAAAAGTCGCCCGGCGCAAAAGTCGCGGCGCAAAAGTCCCCCGGCGCAAAAGTCGCTCGGCGCATAAGTCGCGGCGCAAAAGTCGCGGCGCATAAGTCGCGGCGCAAATGTTCTCGGCGCAAAAGTCACGGAACCAAAATTAGAAGCAAAAATAAAAGGGAAGAGAGGATATTTTGTTTTTATTGTCAACAAATAAAATTTTGTTTAAAAGAGCCTAGCGGGCGCCAAAAAATATTTTTCAGAAAAGAAATTAAAACACAAAGAAAATACAAAAAATTCTGATTTTTTAAAATAAAATACACATGTATAGCCATGTATTTCAGAATTAAATATTCTGGTTTTATATATTCTGGTTTTAATTAAATATTCTGGTTTTGACACAAGTATATTTTTCAGAATTAAATATTCTGATAATTAAATATGTATAAAATACACAGATAAATTCTGATTTTTTCTTCCTATGTATTTTTTCAGAATTAAAAATTCTGATTTTTAAAATACGAAAACACACGCATATATTTTTCAGAATTAAATATTCTGATTCTTAAAATACAAAAATACATAAATTCTGAAATAATAAAACACAAGTAAATTCTAATTTTCTGATTCTGATTTTAATTTATATTAATAAAAAGAAAATCAGAATTATCGTCGTATTTACAATTCTGAAATATTTAATTCTGTATTTGTATTTTTAATTCTTGTATTTTAAACCAGAATTATTAAATTCTGAAATAATATGTATTTGTGTGTATTTTTGAAAGTTTAATTCTGATACATATGTATTTTTTCGAATAAAATACTATAAGCTGTGCGCAAAAACGTAAAAATATAGCTGGGGCGCGACATTTGCGAAAATTAAGACTAAAAAAAATTTTTTAAATTCAAAAATAACTTTATTTTGATATTTTCTGACTAAAAATTATCCAAAAAAATTCCCTACCCTATTTTTATTATTTTTTTTATTTTCACCCTTACACTATTTTCTAGTGTTTCACCGGAACCGAAATTTTGACCGGAACCGGAACCGGAACCGGATCCAATTTAAGTTCCGGTTCCCGGAACCGGAACCGGAACTTTTCAAAGTTCCGGCCCGGAACCGGAACCGGAACCGGAACTTTTAAAAAAATTTTTGCTAGCTCATTTTAAAAAATTTTTATTTTAAGTAGAGGTGCGGTTTCGCCAAATTTTTCGATTAAATTCTGCCAAATTCTTCTGTTAATCGAAACGAAAAAAATCCAAGTTTTGGAAGACCAAATCCCCAGCTATTCAATCCCTGATACCTAACTTGCACAGCTCATTCCCTGGACATCACACCCAAATCCCTCTATGATACCTATAACCCCTTGAACTCACATAATGTAACTCAAAATCCACCTTCATCCATCCAAAGTCTTCGATTTACCATACAACTTACATTCATAGCGCCGCAGGCGAAAATTTTGGGATTTTAGGTGAACCAAGGATACAAATTTCTTCCTTTTTAAGCGCCGCAGGCGAAAATTTTGAGAATTTGTGTGACCAAGTAGCTAGATTTCTTCGTTTTCTTGCGCCGCAGGCGAAAATTTTGAGAATTTTGGAAGGCCAATCGGGGAAAGCCAATCCATATTTCTTAAAAAAACTAATACTTAGGGGTGTAAAAAAGTTCCGGTTTGCCCGGAACCGATTTGTAAACCGGAGCCGGAACCGGAACCGGAACCAATTTGAGTTCCGGTTCCCGGAACCGGAACCAAAAAAACACCGGAACTTTCCGGAACCGGAACCGGAACCGGAACTTCCGGTGAAACTCTACTATTTTCCCTTCAACACACCTTCCACTAAGCCATTGTTGGCATTTTCTACTAAGCCTTCTCATTGCTAATGGAGGTGACATTGTTATTTGTGAATTATTTTGTTTATTATTTATTTGTTTTTGTTGCTTTTGTTGTTGTTCCCTTTCTTCGGATTGACGTAATGACCCTCCAAGTAATTGATCCCGACTAAGTTGTGTTCGACGTTGAAAACGCCTATTACTACCATTACGTCCTCCAAGTTGGGGTGAATGAAAATAAGAAGGAATACGAGAAGAGGAAGAGGAAGAATAATAATTATTATTTGAAGAATAGGTAGATGAATAAGGCAAATAAACATTTTGATGTTGGTGTTGTTGTATTGGCATTTTTTTTTGCCTTTTTATTTTTTTTAAAGATTTCTTTAACTTTAAAAATGAAAAAATAAGAAAAAAATATGAAAAAATATGAAAAATAAGAACAGTGAAAATAATTGAAAAAATAACAAAAAGATTAGCAAAAAATAATTAATCTAATTATTTAAAAAATGGCAAAGATTATGAAAAAATTTCTGGAGATGCGAAAAAAAAACAAAAATTCCGATTTTATTTTATTAATTCAGAAAAACCAAATTCTGCTTTAAAATAGACTTGATTAATTTTACAATCTAGAAAATATTTATATTTTTCTGAAAAACACAATTTTATTAGATGATATTAGGGTAAACTCTCCATCCCCTCGAGGACGGGAGTGTCAGGTTTCGGGGTTTGTCTTGGTTCGGGTTGGAGGCCTTCGGAGTTCGGGTCGAGGTTTTGCCTAAAAATTTGTCAAGGTTTCGGGAAACGGGTCGGAGGTTTTGCCTGCACAGGGTTGAAAGTCGGGGATCGGGGTTTGTCAGGGTAAAGCCTTCGGGGTTTAAAAATACGTTTGGTTTCAGGGGAGTCGTGGTGCTATTCTAGATGTTATGTCCACCATTTACAATACCGAATTATACAAAAATAATAATTATTTTTTTTTCAAATTTTTGTGCACTATAATGAAAATAATATATAAGGAAAATGACCGCCATATTGTCTGAAAAGATTGGAATTTTTAAAAAAAATAGAAGTTAGATGATTGCAAGAGAGGAAAATGCCGTTATTATAGTCAACAACCAGATGTCGCCTCTAAAAACAAAAAAATGCAAAAAAAAGGATGGAAAAGGACGAAGAAAAAATAACCAAAAAAACAAGCATATTTTGGGGGGTTGACGAAGAGAGAGGTTGAAAAATTGATGATGGTGGTTTAGTGTTAAGTAGAAAGGACAAAAGTTGAGATGAAAAAAAGTGAAAATGGGGAGGCAGAGTCGAGATGTTTTGGGAAATTGAATTGTATGTCGGATTTCGGGGTTTGTCGGGGTAGAGTCTACGGGGTTCGGGTCGAAGGATCGCTTATATCACCCCTCGTGGCACAATTTAGCCGATATATTGATGCGGTGAATTGATGCCGGTAAACTCGAAAATTCAAGGACCCCGAAAAAATTTTCTGAAAATTTTTCGAACAGAACTGACCCCCCACGGGATTAATCTCGAAAATCCCGTCAACCAATAAAATTTGAAAAACTAGCATTTTAGGACGGCAATACAGAAAATCCCTTTTCGAGGTTGATCTCTAGTCAGATCAGGTTCCTATATCACCCCTCATGGCACAATTTAGCAGATATATGAAAAAAAGTTGAATAACAAGGCAGGTGCCATATCAGAGAGAAGGGAAGCAGGTGTCTGAGATATTTGAGAGGTGTCTGAGAGAGATTCGACAGCCCTCCTCCCCCAATACATACATATATCAAAAAAATAATAATTAAATTTATTAAAAGGACACAAAACCCCCCGTGAAGGTCACTTGATTTAATTCAATTAATATTTAATTACCAAGGCTGGTTATAATATAAATTGTTGGGTGAAAGAAAAAAGGGTGAGAAAATATTTTTTTAAATTTTTTATTGCGTATATTTTCTCTTTTCAAATGAATTTATTAACGCTTGATTTGATTCAAAAGGGATTAAAAAAATAGAAAAAAGAAAAATAAATAGAAATAATCAGTCAAGAGTTGATTTATTTTAGTAAAATACACATTATTATACTGACAATACAAATACTGATAAATTTTAAAAAAATAAAGAAAAGAGAAGATTGGTATAAAAATGAAATTAAAAATTAATATTTTAAAAAGGATTAGTACTAATTATGTAAGTGAATTGAAAAAAAATTTTTCGGTTCTTCGAGAAAATTCTTTTAAAATCCAAAAATCAACCCGAAAAATCTTTTAACAACACAAAGAAAAATTTTATTTAAAGGGATGGCTAAGAACAGTGCTAGGCTACGGAGTTTTCAAAATCTTTGCTCCGAAGCCAGCTAAGATTAAACTAACTCCGCCCGGCTCCTGCGGAGCCAGAGCTTTGAGCCGTGGCCAACAAATAGCCAGTATCCAGCACTAGCTAAGGACCTAACCCATTTTTACTGTTATTCGAAACCAAGATAGAAGGGATGGAAAACCCATAAGCTCAGTTCCAAACCAACAAACCAAATTTTATTAAAACAATCTGACTATTTAAAAATGCAACAACCAAGCCTATAAAACCCTTAAAATAAAGAAAAATAAAAGAGTCAAATGGTTGGAAATAAAATAAGGTTTAAAAATATATAAGTTAATTTTAGATATATATATATGACAGAGTTTAAACTGAAAAATTCTTTTTTAAAGGTCCAGGACTGAAAAAAGAAGAAAAAAAGATTTATTTATGTTTAAAGGATATATTTAAAACTAAAATAGAGGTTGACAAGTGAAAATGAAGAGGAAAAAAAATATTTTAGAAAAGACTGAGTAGAGATACTTAAACATTAATATTAACTAAATTGAAATTAATATTTTAAAAGAGGATTAATAATTAAATAAATTGGGAAAAAATAATTTTTTTTAATGATAATAATTTATTTTTGACAATTACAAACGAAAAAATACAAACTAGAGTAGGACACGATCGATATGGAAGTTTAAAAACCGAAAACCGGAAATTCATGATTTTTTAAAAATATTTTTTTTAATTTGTTTTTTAAAAAAGTGATTTTTTATAAACCCCCCCCCCCCAAAATAAGACCGATATTTGACCAAAACTCAAAAACGAAAACCGGGTTTGAAAATTGGGATTAACCGAAAACCGGGGGTATCGGTTAATAACCGGTTGTGTCCTGCCCTAATACAAACACAAAAAATACAAATTAGTTACTAAAATCAATAGGTGCGAGAATTGAGTCTACACCAAAAAATCTCAAATCCGATAACCGAGATTTTTGAGTTCGAGATCTCGTCCCGATCTCTCAAACAAAAACACAAAAAATTACTAAAAAATATAAAAATACGAAAAATAACATATATACAGTATTTTTATTTTGTAATTATTACAATTTTAATTTTAAAAAAAATTAAAAAGACTAGAGCGCGAATCTATAAAGAAATTAAATGCTTTAGTATTTATTTATTACTTTTAAAATACAGCCGGAAATAAAAGGAGAAAGAGGGCAAAAAAGGAAAGAAAAAGAGAGATCGTTCCGGAAAAAGAGAGCAAATAATTGTTGTAATTAATTAAATTTGTAAAATACAAAAAAATCAGAACACAAACAACAAATGTACACGAAATTTAATAGACGTTATGAATCTAAAGAAAAAAAATACAAATCAGAATTACAATTTGTAATTCTGATGTTTTTATTAACAATGAGAAAAAACAGAAATACAAATATTTAATAAAAACCAGAAAATCAGAATTAAATAAAAAAAGAAAGAATGTTTCCGGAAAATACAGAAGAAATACAAAAATAAAAACCAGAATTATTACATACAAATTCAAAAGAAAATACACACCAGAATTACAATCAGAAATGAACCAGAAATACAAATGTTTGACAAAAAAATACAAAAATCAGAATTAAATAAAAAAATAAAAATCAGAACTAATATAACAATAAAACCAGTTTTACAATTTGTAATTCTGGTTTTTGTATTTTCGTTAAAGAATAACGGAAAATCAGAATTAAAGGAAAATACAATCAGAATTATTACAATTCCAGCAAAAATACACACCAGAATTACAATCAGAAATACACATATTAACACAAAATACAAAAATCAGAATTAAATGAAAAATACAAAACAGAAACAAAATAACAATAAAAACCAGAATTAAATAGAAAACATCAATAAAAAACAATAATATTAATAAATAAAAATAACAAAAATTACAAATAAATATTTAATTATTAATAAAATAAGAAAAAATTTATATAAATAAATAAAAGGTATTTTTCATTAAAAAATTTATTTTTTTTCCGAGAATTTTTCGCGCGCTGAGATTAGCAAACAATAACAATTGTTTGTGAAGGTAAAAATGTTAAAATGATGAATTTAAAAAAATAAATGAAAAATAAAGAGAAAAAATAACACAAAAAAAAAATTTTAAAAAATATAGGAAAAATAGATAAGAGAAAATGAAAATTAAAAAAATATGAAAATGAATACATATAAGAGATGAGTGCCGCGCGCTGGTTTTTTTTAATAAATAAATTTTCATTTTTGTTTGATGCCCTATTTTTATTTTTTTAAATAGAAAAAGGAAGGTTGAGTCAAATAAATTATTAAAAATATTATTCTGAATTTCCCCTCTCTAAAATATATCAATTTTTATTTATCTCTCAATAATCGCCTTATCGGCATTTGAAATCACATACACACGCGCTAATGAACACAAAAAATAACAACTAAAATCCTCAAATAAATATATTTTTTCTTTCTCAACTGGATTTGAAACCTCTTAAAATATCCCTCATAAATAATCAAAAATAAAAAAATAAAAAATAGTTATCGAAAAATAATTTCAAGAAAAAACATAGAAATAAGGGCTGTGCGTGGTCGTCAAAAGTGAAACGCTATGGCGCACATCCCTAGTATATATAACTGAATAAATGCTTCCGGAAAACATTCTTAAAATGTTTTAATTGTCTTTTCCGGAAAAACACAATACTTATGCAGCAATATCTCCGGAAAGTTTGTTTAGTAATATTGTAAAACACAAACAAAGTTTTCCGGAAAATATTAAATTATAAACTTTCCGGAAATATAATGAGAATATAACGTTCCGGAAATTATATTAGAATATTAAAACACAAACAAAGTTTCCGGAAAATATAATATTATAAACCTTCCGGAAATAATTTTATTGGAGAATAGAACTTTCCGGAAATATAACGAGAATAGAATTTTCCGGATATAACAGGAACAGGTTTTCTTTTTACAAACTCAAGTTTACCAATTTTTTAACGCTTTTTATTATCCATACAAATTTAATTTAAAATGAATACCCACCCTAAGGTTGAAGAACACCAAGACTGATCCATTCCCCATATATTATTAATATCAGAATTTAAAGAAGTTGTTGTTGATAATATTGTTTTATTTGAATTGTTGTGTTGTTTCTCCGTCTCTTTTACTTTGGAAATAGGTTCACTGGTTTGTGCAGTTGTTGAATTGCTACAAGAACAGAAACCTTTAAGAAGGTCATTCCAAGACCAAACTGAAGCCATAATGAAGAGAAGCTAAAAAATAGAAAAATTAAATTTTTAAAAGTTTTCAGGAAAATATATTCAGGAAACGACAATTTTGTTTTCAGTAATTGTTGATATTTTAGGAAAAGGATTCCGGAAAAAGTTTAAATTCAGGAAAACATACAAGTTTTCCGAGAAATTACCTATTTAAAATATATTTCCGGAAAACGTGAATGTACATTTTCCTGAATGCAAACTTTTCCGAAAAATTTTAAATATAATTTTCCGGAAAATATAATATAACAAACTTTCCGGAAATATTTACTCTATTCAGAAATAGAACTTTCCGGAAAATAGAATATGCAGGAAACAAGTTTTCCGGAAAATATTTAAAAAATAGCTATGCTTCACAAAAAGCTATGCTTCACAAAAACATTTTATTTTTAATATACCTAACAATGTTTCATAAGTAATTAAAAAGCAAGTAAATAACTAAAAGAATGTAAAGTCCCGTTACTTAACTTTTTCCGTAATTTATTTCTCAAGTGTTAAATGCTTTTAATGATTAAGTTAACGTCCTTTCGATATTATTCAAGCGCAAATACTCTTCAATCATTTATTAATTAATAGTTATAACTACAAAATACTAAAAACAAGTAATCTAAATACAATCTCGTTTCTTAAGACCAACAATTAAAAAAGCTACTTAAGTCATAATTTAAATTAATTATGTGCAAACACATAATTAATTAAAATAAATTATAGTTAATAATTTATTGAAACGTCAAAATATTTTTAAAAAATAGCGAATTCTGTTAGAAATCGCGAACAAATTATTCCGGAAAGTTATACTATTTTCAGGAAAAATTGATTCTCCGGAAACTTTATAACTCTAAAAATTAATTTTCTGGAAAAATTATAACACCAAAAAATATATCCGGAAATATTAAAAAAATCTAAGTTTATTTTCCGGAAGCATTATAACTCCAAGAATATATTTTTCCGGAAAACCTTAAAACTAAAAATTGATTTTCCGGCAACTTTATAACTCTAAAAGTTATTTTCCGGAAGTATGATAACACTTAAAATTATCTTCCGGAAAGTTACAACACTAATAATATATTTTCCGGAAACTGTATAACTATAAAAATATTTTTCCGGAAAACCTTAACACTAAAAATAAGTTTTCCGGAAACTCTATAACTCTAAAATGTATTTTCCGGAAATTTATAAATATTATTTAAGTTTATTTTCCTGAATTATAATTACAAAAGGAAAACCAGAATATACAATTCAACTCAAATTGAATTAATAATTCTGACCTTGATTTTAAAATTTAATAAAAATAAAAAAGAATTTCCCCTACTTGTTTTGCAGTAGTTGTAATTTTCTTATTAATTGTTTGTTGCTTTTCCCTCACTTTTTAATTGCTACGTAGTTAGTAGTAGTCAACTCAAAACAAAATTACAAGCAATTCAGTGAGTTGTTTTGAAGAAAAAAAAAACTAATTATGAAGCAAATCCGCGTTGTTTTTAAATAAGCAACAATTTACACAAAAATTATTTTTTTATTTTTGCTATCAAAACGGATCTAAAAAAAATAAAATAAAAATTATTAAAAAATCTCAATGGAAATGAGGGCAATTCAAAAAAAAGAAAAAACATGTCAAACAAAATAAAAGTAAAAGGTGAATAAACTGATGAGTGTGAAAAATGAAAATATATGAGAAAATTTTTGGAAAAAATTTTTTTTTAATTTATTATAGAGCAGAAGCAAATTAAAATGAAAAAGGAAAATTTTAAAAAATTTATAAAAATAGGTTTATTAAAAATTGTTTTTGGCCTTTTCTAGCTTCAATGAGAACAAAAATTGGTGGGTTTGTTAGCAAAATTGTTTGGGAAAAAGGTTAAAAATAGAGAAAATAATTGTGGACTAGTATGTGGTCATCTCAAATAAATACAAGTAAACAACAATAATTATTTTATATTTGTTTTGTAGCCTTTGCGCTATTTATTGAAGCGGAATATTCATTTTGGTATTCCGAAAATCATGAGAAATTTTCTCAA